ATAAAGATATTGAATAGCACTGGGCCCAGGACAGAGCCCTGTGGCATTGAAGTTGCAAATTTTGAATCATGAAAAGTGCACAGCACATTCCTCTCTGGGTCTCCCTCAGCCTGTCATGTTTCCTCCTCTGTGCCAGAGCCAAGGCAGCTCTGCATTTTCCAGATGGCTTTCATCCAGGAGGGAGACAATTCTTCCTTGATGTTTGGGCAGCCCCCAAGTGGTCTCTGGGAGTGTCACTCCCTGGCTTTGTAACTGTATTACCATTTGAAAGGCATCCAAGCTGGAGACTGGGAATTAAGGGATGCTTCGTAAATCATTTCCGCACCACTTAGACTCAAATTCCAGTGGCCTTACCCATAAAAAAAATCAAAGCAAAATCATGGGAATGCAAACTTTCTCAGATCCATGCAATAACTCCATCCTCCTCTCAGCTAATGGAAGTGCCTGGAAATGTTTAACCCACATCAGTCTTGCAGCCAGTTAGTGATAATTTGTAAATATATGGTCAGAACTTTTGGAACCCAGGAGGTAGACCAAAATTAAAATACCCAGGTCTGCTTGCACAGGCTAGAGGTAAATAATTTGTGGGGCAGAGGCTTGGGGGTTAGCAAAGCAAAGCAGCTTCATTTATATACCGCTTCATATCGCGCTATGGGATGTCTAAGAGGTTTACAGCTGTAAGCTCATTGCCCCCCAACAGTTGGGTACTCATTTTAGCAACCTTGGAAGGATGCAGGCCTGAGTCTAGCCTGAGCCCTGGCTAGGATTGAACTTGCAACCTTGTGGTCTATGAGTGAGTGGCTGCAGGACACGCATTGAACCACTGTGCCACCAGGGCTCCCAGGTTAGTGCCTGGGTTTTCTGCATCGGCCCAGAACCGTGTCATTGGGGTGGTGAATCCTCTTTGGAATTTAGTCCAAATGTTGATGGGACTATTCAAGGGGCTGAGACCTATCCCCAAACTTTTCAGCCCCTTGGATAGCTTCCTTAAATGTTATTTAGAAATGAAGTAAATAAAAATAAAGATCTAGTTTAAACCTATAGAAACTTCTGCTGCTTTACTGACATCAAAACCACTAGCCACCAGGGTTCCAAAAAGTTCCTCCACCATGTTGGGGAAATTGGCTTGGACCTCAGAAGCCTGCTTTCACTCTTTGTGCAGGACTAATATTGATTTATTGCATGACCCAGATTATATTAATGTGGAATATACATTGTCATAACTCCTGAAATAGCTTATTGACAAGAAGTTACTGTCTTCCTGCTGGATGTTCATTCTGGAGAAACATTCTGAGACACTATACCAGGCAAGTGTGTTAATGAGGAATGAGGGAAGAGCTGTGTGTATGTGCACACATGTCTCTTCTCAGACATGGAAAGCTGCCAAATAGTGAATCCAAAGCAATGGTAGCTGATGGGGTTTACAGGGCCTGATGGGGTGAAGGTCAGGTTCACCATAGGTGAAACCCATGGGTCAACAGAGATGTGGTCCAAATACATTTAAGTTATTACTGAACCTACTCCCTTACTGTCAGGAAGTTCCTCCTAATGTTAAGGTGGAAACTCTTTCCCTGCAGCTTGCATCCATTCTTCTGAGTCCTATCCCCTGGAGCTGCAGAAAACAAGCTTGCTCACTCCTCAATATGGCATCCCTTCAAATATTTAAACAGGGCTATCATATCACGGGCCTTATTTTAGTTGCCCTCCTCTGGCCTTGCTCTAGCTTCTCAACACCCTTTTTGAATTGTGGTGCTCAGAACTGGACACAGGATTGTTCCAGGTGAGGCCTGACCAAAGCAGAAAAAAGTGGCACTATTATTTCCCTTGATCTAGATACTACAATTCTATTGATGCAACCTAAAATCACATTGGCTTTTTTAGCTGCTGCATCACACTGTCAACTCATATTCAAGTTGTGGTTTACTAGGACTCCTAGATTCCCCCTTCCTCTATCTATGCATTTCATTTTCCCGCCCTAAGTGCAGTACCTTACATTTCTCCATGTTGAAATTAATTTTGTTAGTTTTGGCCCAGCTTTCTAATCTATTCAGGTCATTTTGAATTTTCATCCTGTCCTCTGGGTTAGCTACTTCTCCTAATTTTGTGTTATCTGCAAATCTGAGAAGCATGCCACCTATTCTTTCATCCAAGTCATTTATAAAGATGTTGAATAGCACTGGGCCCAAATCCACCTAACATTTGCATTTTTTAATCCACACTTATGAGGGATCTTGTCAAAGGGCTTACTGAAATCAAGATATACTATATCTATAGCATTCTTTTCATCTAGCAAGCTGATAAGTTTATCAAAAAAGATATCAGATAAGTCTGGCATGACTTGTTTCTCTGAAACCCATGTTGACTTTTTGTGATTATGGCATTCCCTTCTAAATGTTCACAGACTCTCTGTTTAATGAACTGTTCTAGACTCTTTTCTGGTATTAATGTCAGACTAACTGGGTGATAGTTGTTGGGATCCTCTTTTCCCCCCTTTTTGAAGATGGGGACAATGTTTTCCCTCCACCAGTCCGCTGGGACTTCTCCTGTTCTCCAGGAGTTCTCCAAGATTATTGCTAGTGGCTCCGATATTACATTTGTCAATTCTGTTAATACCCTTGGATGTAGTTCATCTGGCCCCAGAGAATTAAATTCATTTATATTAATCATATATTCCTGTACTACCTTTTTACTTATTCTGTGCTGTATTTTGCCTAGTGTGTCCTGTGCACCATTTTCCTCAGGTTGAGCACTCTTTTCATGTTGTGAGAAGATTGAGGGAAAGAGGGTGTTGAGCAATTCTGTCTTTTTTCTGTCCCCTGTTAACGTTTTACCATTTTCTGCATGCAGTGGCCCTACCATTCCCTTCTTCTTTCTTTTGATATGGATATATCCCCAGAAGCTCTTTTTGTTGTTCTTAACCTCTCTAGCAAGCCTAAGCTCATTCTGTGCTTTAATTTTTTGTTTATTTTAGCCCTACACATGCTTGCTATTTATTTGAATTCCTCTTTGGTGATTTACCCCTTTTTCCATTTCTTATGCATGCCCTGTTTAAAATGTACTTCAATTGAAAGTCCTTTTGTCATCCAACCCAGTTTCTTGAGACATCTCCCATTTTTCCTCCTCCTTGGAACTGTTCTAAATTGTCCCTTCAGTATCACCCTTTTAAGAAACTCCCATTCATCCTGAACTCCCTTCTCTTTTACTATTCTTGACCATGGGAATCACCCCCAGTATTTCCCAAAGTTTACTGAAATCAGCTCTCCTAAAGTCTAGAATGAGTGTCTGATTATGCCTGGTTTTCCACTGTCTAACTGTGTAACAAATTCCAGGAAAACATGATCACTTCCACCTAAGGATCCCACCACTTCTACCTACCAGGTCATCCCTGTTGGTTATTTAGGCCTAGGCCTACCCCAACAACAACAACATTTTAAAAATATTTGTTACTCACCTCTCCCCAAGGCTTGAGGCGGGGTACAACATAGATTAAAATATAATATATAACTTAGGACACTGTAGCTAAGGATCTCTCTAAGGAAATTTTTAATTAGCTCAATTAGTTATTGGGCTGCACTACAAAACAGCCCTCTGACACTTTCTCACCTGTATACCAAGAGCCAGGAAACATGAATCCACAGAGGCAGAATTCTCTCAATGAATTGCATTTTTATTTAGGGGGAATCACACAACATGACAAACACACATGAACACATGCACACAAGAGCTAAGGAATATAGGAATTAGCATTGGAATAGTTTGAGGCTCCACTAATGTGATACTCACTCTAGACGTGGTCACTCCAGATGGTTGAAATGGGATACACTGAGATTGGACTCAGGTGTGGGAAGTGCTGGAATGGACGGCTACAAGTCTATGAGTCAAAGGCCAAATCTGCATTGGAAAGGATCACTCGAGACGGGGCTTCAAAAGGTGTTTTAAATTCTCTCCATTGGCTGCCAATTAGTTTCTGGGCACGGTACAAGGTGTTGCTTATAACCTTTAAAGCCCTACATGGCCTAGGTCCAGACTACTTGTGGGAGCGCCTTCCTCCATATAATCCACGCTGCACACTTAGGTCCTCTGGGAAGAATTTACTACAGCCTAAGAAGAACAGATTGGCTGTAGTAACCCAGAGGGCCTTTTCATCTGACACTCCTGGGTTATGGAACGGCCTGCTGGAGGAGATCTGTCACATTACCACTCTAGAAGCCATTAAAAAGACTGATAAGATGGATCTCTTCTGGCAGGCCTTTCCAGATTAGCCTCTGCTCCACTGATATTGATATCCCCTGTCTACCCCAAGAAAGATAGATGTCTCACCTCCAACTACCTCTAATTTTAGCTAATTTGTTATTTCTTCCACTTTTAATTAATATTTTATATTGCTATTCATTTTATATTGTTATTATTTTTTGTTTGCTTCCTTTTTATGATTAGGAGGGGAGTTTGTGTAGGGGATTATTTAGAAATGTTTTTTTAATTGTACATTGTATTTTATTGTTATTCTTACTTGTTGTAACCCACCTTGATCCACAGGGAGAGGCGGGCTACAAATAAAATATATTGTTGTTGTTGTTGTTGTTGTTGTTGTTATTATTATTATTATTATTATTATTATTATTATTATTATTATTATTATTATGGAACTAGTCAGAATTCACAGTGACAGAGTTTTCCCATGCATTCTATCTAGCCCACTGAACAAAAGAACTTGGGGTGCTTGAATAGCTTGAGGCAAAGACACATCAAAGGCCAAATCTGAATTGGAAAGGATCACTCGAGATGGGGCTTCAAAAGGTGGGAATGAAGTTGTCAATCAGCACTCTCCAGTTTAGGATCAAAACTTCCTGCTCATAAATTAGCCTAGCCTTCCTATCTCAAAGGTGTGAAAGTTCCCTTGATTGCAGCTCCCAAACTTATGTGATTTTTCTCTTCCCTTGTAAGTGGTCTCTCACCTTTGGGCTCATGGCTATCTTGCCTATGTGACAGCGCAGGGTAAGCCCCATTGCTATTTGCAGTTAGAGTACATTCATGGCCATAGATGTGACACATACACTTACACACCAAAATTAGGAAGACGTTCATTACTCATAACACACCTAGCAGACTGTAAGATCAATGATAACAACAACTGCTACTACAACTACATGAGTGCAGATATACAATCAACCCCCTGTGTTCTGCATCCATAGATTCTATCATCTACAGCTTGAAAATATTCAGCAACCAGCACAACAAGAAAAATTCCAAATTGTAAACTTTGATTTAGCTATTTTATATAAGGGACATCATTTTACTATGTGATTGTATATAATGGGATTCAAATATCCGTGGATTTTGGTATCCCTGTGGGGTTCTGGAACCACACTGCAGCAGATACCAAGCGACCACTGTACACCTCACAAACACAAAGTAGAATCCCAGCCAACATTTGTTTTTGTTTTAATTAGGTCTGCTCTCTGTTCTGCCCCCTATCTTTGTCCTCTCCCCACCTTTAACTAACTTAGAACATTAGCTCACTTTTGATTTCTCCCGTCAAGATCTTATTGTTCCCAATTATTCCCCTAATCAAATCAGGCCAACACTCCAATATCCCCCTTTGTTCTTGTTTGCATGCTTTTCACAAGGATCTCTCCTCTAAAGGAGGTGGTCCAAAGGGCATGATGGAAGGGCTCTGCTGTTAAATAATTTTTTCCCTGGAGCCACCACTGTTGTCACACCATCAATCATTGATCTCCTTTTGTCCCAAGAACTGGTCAAGGTATTGTGCAGCAGCCAAATTAGATCTATTTTAGAAGAGCCCTTTGTTCTTTTAGCAAATCTATGGCAACATTTGTGGGTCAATTCCAAATCAATGCTGTTTCCTTGGACACCTAAAAAAGAGAAGGACATTACTGAATTGAAAGGCCAGTTGGGAAGTTTTTGACTTGGAGCTTGATGTGACAACTATGCCCAAAATGTCAGGAGGGTTGTTAAAAACTTCATGCTTTTTGATCAACAAAAGGAGTGGACCATGCATGGCATAAGGGGAAATCAATACAATGGTGCAGGAAACAGGATGGGATGTAATTCCAGTTTGTGGTATCTTGATCCAACATTTTTTCTCATTGTGCCATGAGGACCATTTAAAAAAAACAGCAGGAGAATCTGGGTGCACTTTTAAAAACTAACAGGTTTTATTTGGCACTTCATAAATGCTTACACCAAACAAAATTTGTCAGTCATGGAAGTATCACATGATTCTTCTTTGCTCCTCCATTATGGATCCTATCCAATAAACTCTTGGCGTTGGAAGAGGCCATGAAGGGCAACATCTGCCATGCAGGAATACAAAACTAAAGCACTCCTCAAAGAAAACCATCCCAAAGAAGGCCTCCTCTTAGAGACCTTCAAAAAAGAAGAGTCCACCAGCCTCTGAGGCAGCCCTTCTACTGTTGCACAGCTCTTACAGTCAAGAAGATATTCTGCCTAATGTTTGGGTAGAATCTCTTTGCTTGAAATTTAAATCCACTGGTTTGTTTTCTAGTCTCTGGAGAAGTAGAAGACAAGTTTAGTCCATCTACGTGGCATCCTACCAAATACCATTGGTCCTCCTTATCCATGGATTCTGCATCCATGGATTCCACCATCTATGGCTTGAAAATATTCCACCCCTTCCCCCTAAAATCAAACCTTGATTTTGCTATTTTTGATAAGGGAACACCATTTTACTACATCTTTGTAGTAAATGGGACTTGAGCATCCACAGATTATGGCATCCATATGGGGTCCTGGACCCAAACCCCAGCAGATACTGAGGGCCCACTGTATTTAAAGATGGCTGTCATATTACCTTTCAGTCTTCTCTTCTCCAAGATAAAAAAATAACCAAATCCTAAGTAATTCACCATAAGTCTTGGTTTCCAGACCCTTCACCATTTTGGTTGTCCTCTCTTGAACCCATTCCATCTTGTCCACATCCTTCTTGAATTGTGGTGCCCAGAACTTAAGCTAGTGTTCCTATTGAGGTCAGAGCAAAGCAAAGCAATGCAGGGCTACTTATTTCCTTTGATTAGACTCTGATTGATGCACCCTAGCATTTCATTGGCTTTTTGGGCTGCCACCTCACAGGACCTTATCCCACGCTGCTCTCAAAAGTGGCAAGAAAGCGATATGAGCATCATTGCAGTACTATAGCGCTAGTATAAATATGGCGCTAGCGCTATAATAGCGCTATGGATAAGCTAGCGCTATTGCAATGCCCGCTGAAACCGACATTCCAAAGAACCCGAATGATGCTGCATTCCGATCGGTTTCTTGTTGGATTCTGAGCGACGTCGTGTGATCACCCAGAAAACTATAGCGCTATAGCGCCTGCTTCTTGGCCGATTCTGAGCGACGTCGTGTGATCACCCGGAAAACTATAGCGCTATAGCGCCTGATTCTTAGCCGATTCTGAGCGACGTCGTGTGATCACCTGGGAATGTATAGCGCTATAGCGCCTGATTCTTAGTGGATTCTTGCTGCTTTTGGCCCCGTGGGATAAGGTCCACAGTGTTTGCTCATGTTCAGCTTGTGGTCTATTAAGACCCCTAAATCCTTTTCAGAGGGACTGCTTTCAAGGCAGGTATCATCCCTCATGTGGGTGATCTTGCACTTCTGTGTGACCAGTCAGTGTCATGTAGTGCAAATGTGAGCTATTCTAAAGTAAGGCCAGGCCTTCCTGATGGTGTGTAGGCTTTCAGCCTTCTTCACAGCAAGTTCCTCAATAATTGCCAAAAGGGAAATCGTCACTTGATTTTGAAGCAGGCAGAAACTGTTCACAAAGGGCCTCCCATTTCAACCATGCCCTAGTAAATAGTTGGGGAGGTCCCTCTTTCTTATTCTTTCCTGTTCTCCTGGTTTTGTATGCACACAACACAATATGTTATTAGCTACTGCATACAGTAACTAAATATGCTTATTTTGGACCCTGTGCTGCACTTTAATTAGGAACTGCTTGGTTGTTGTTGTTTTTTTGAGGCCTCCCAGTACCAGAAGTTTGCTTTCATAATTAAAAGTAAAATGCAAACGAAGGGGTTTCTTTCCAGTGGCATGCGAATTAAGCTCTAATGAAGAGGGAAGGATGAGGCACAAATGGAAACCTCTTGACCTCTGATTTTCTGGTGACCCAAACCGTATCTCATTATACCACAGTCTATTATTTGCTAAAGAGGTGAGCAAGATGACTAACTGATTCCTACTTTGTCTTCATGAACGTGCAAACTTACTGTAGCCCAGAAATTATGGTATAGAAAATCAGTATGTCAAATCAGCAAATACTCCTTGAAATCCTACATAGCGCTCATGTAGAGTAGATCCGAGTTGGTGTAGTGGTTTGAACATTGGAATATGACTCTGGAGATCAGGGTTCAAATCCCCATTTGGTCATGAAACCCACTGGGTGACCTTGAACAAGTCACACAATCTTAGCTTTAGAGGATAGCAATGGCGAACCCCCTCTTAAGAAACTTGCCAAGAAAACCCCATTATGGGGTTGCCATCAGTCAGAAATGACTTGAAGGCACACAACAACAAGAGTAGATCCATTCTTACATGGTTACACAGTGAATGCACTGCTCTAGAGATGGAATTCCTCATTAATTTGCATCCTTGAAAAAAGCAATAAGTATTTTTACTAATTTTCTCCCCAGTGTCAGAAAGTGTCTGAAAACTGTGCAGTTTTCAGAGGCTATTCATAGTTCAGGATTTATTCTGCACAAAATTTGCACTTGGATTTTTGCAAAACACACACACACACAC